AATTGCAACAGCGTGCGAGCACTGCCTGGAGATGTGACAATCAATCTTCATAAAGGTTACGCACCGAGCTCTATGAAAATTCTTATGAGAGAAATTTCCATGATAGAAAACAGCTTTCAACACAAAGAAAATATTTGAACGAAGAGATAGCGATTGGTTCATTAATATATATAGTAATGGGAAGAAAAATTACTTTTATTCAGAATTGATCTCTGCTCCGAATAAGAAGAGACCTGAATGTTTGATATTTTAAAACCGGTATTCTATCCTTAAAACGCTTTGTAGATTGAAATCAAAGAACACAAATATTTTTCGATGCTCTACATGCCTGTAAAGCTTCAACAACGTCGGAGCGGGGATTTTGATTGTTTTCGAGTCGATTTAAGACACGCGATATTTCCCGAGGAAGCGTGTTCGCCGTCGGTTTTCATACAATTACCCTGACGAAAGAGGCGACAGTGTTTTAATCGCGATTCAAGGATCAGAACGCGGGGCAAGAAAAACAGGCTCGTGATGCGACACAGCAGGCGCGGGTTGCCGTAACGCGGAAAGGGCGAAACGAGCTTTCGAAAGTCACCAGGCCGAGAAGCGCACAGAGAGCCGTTCAAACAAGCGAGGCGAATAAAAGCTTACCTCGCCTCGATGAATGAGGAACCCTTCTCCCGCTTCTTTTCATCATTGTCTCTTCTTTGCGGCTTGTTTCCTGTTCCTTCAAACTTTTTTTTTCCTCGCTAATTTCTTGTTCTAATTAGGCTTCGTTGCATGATGCCTGTCGCCTTTGTCTCGATTCGTCTCTGTCTGAATAATCTAAAGCGTTGAAACGAGTTTTGACCTGGATTCCAAGTGATTGTAGGACACGCTTTATTAACAAGACGTATTTTATTATCTCTGTTGCATAATTTATATTCCTTGATCAGAGCCAGCGTACAAATTCGTTAAATAAATTATATTTCAAATTGTACGAAATTCTATAAATCGATGATAAATATTAATGGAACAGCGTGGTATTCAATTGTAAAAAGAATAGCACTCGAAATTTCGCCTCTTTCTCTTTGTTTGTTCAATTAATTGAAGTTTTCATGAAACGCGCCACGAATTCGTTTCCCGAAACGCGAAATTCCTGGCTACATTTTTAGCTGGCATTGTATCCATTATCGATATGTCTCTCTGAATGTATTCGTTTCGCGGACCTATTAGCCGAGTGAATTGACAGACGTGAATGCTGGTGACATGTGCTTCCAGTCTGTCAAAAACGTCGCGCAATTAGCCAGCCTTTTTAACATGTGAAAATGTATCGATAGAAATCGCATTATCGAGTTTCTTTCACCCAACATTCCCCAAATTATTTTATCACTTCGCTTAATACAATTAAAATCGCGCATTACATTTTGTGATACATTCGAAAATATTAATAAATGTTATGTATAAATGATGGTAACAGGTTTCAACTATACAATCATTATTCGTACCATTTATGCTTTCCTCTTTGTAACAGAAAATATTATTGACAGCCCGTTTCCAAACACGTACTGAGCTCCTATTGCGTTTGATTGATAAAAAGCGTAACGAAGGGATAAATTGCTTTTGTCGCGGTTTAAATCGTTTGCTGAAATAAACGGGGGAATTATCGGTTAATTAAGAGGTGCACTGATTTTTGAAATTACGTTACGCGGTTACATCTTCTAATTGTGCTCCGCTGTGCAAACGAATTCCTCTTTTAAATTATAAAGTAATCATGATTTCCAATCTTCTTGGATAATTAATATTTATCTTCCTGTAATTAATATTCATGTTATCTCGTTTGTTCTGACCTAAAGCCTCTGATAACTTCATAATAATCTATAAAATATAATTCTACGCGATAAATAAAATAATGTAAAACAAGACA